TGAAACTTACACAGACATCATAAATATCTTTTACAGTGTTGTGACGTACATACACTGAGATGAATACACATTGTTAAATGTTAATGATTTTTACAAATCTAGAAATAAATCAGCATTTAGTGCTGATGTTTGAGATTTCTCACTAGTGAATAACCTGTCTTATATGCTTCTTTTTAATCAACAGTTTCACTGCTAACCTTTCATGAATAAACTGACATTAATAACAATTTTTCAAATAACACACATTTCATGCTCTACTTAAGTATCTGTGGACCTGAAAAAAAGGAAAAATGTAGAGTTCCATTTTTTTTGTTTCCGGCGGGGAAAATCACCCAATCACATTATGTACGTTTTTCAGAACCAACTGATCATTATTTTTAATCACAACTACTGATTGTACACAGTCTACTAGTTGGCGTTGTAGGTACACAATTAAGAGAAAAAAATACCCGAACGGTGAAAAAAATATAGTACGATATTTATAATTATGTGTGTTCTCATCCTACATCGTGTGGCTTACTTACGTCCGATCGCGGTCGTTACTTTAAGATAACTATCTCCACGGCTTACTCATCGTGAGCAATTAACGCTTGCACTGTACAAAATAATTACACATGATATACTGCACTTCAAAAGTATATTATGTAGTGTTACTTGAGTTATGAGACTTCAAAATATTAGGTATGCCTGAAAATATTTTATAGATTTTCTAACATCGTTTGGAAATGTTCAGATTTTTCCGTGAATAATTTCGTCTATAATTCTGCCACCCATCCTACATGCTCAATCATTAGTCCTGAGTCGTTGTGTCAATGAGCTATGGTTTCAAAAAAAAAATTGACTGTTCTTAATCACAATCTCATCCGATGCGATCTAGGTTTATTAGATTGCTCAAATAATTCATTTCAAGATGGCCATGGGTCAGACAGTCAAACGCGTAGACTATAAAAAAATAAGTTTTAAAATAAAACCTGTACTTAACCTTTAACATTGGGTATATTAGATTTTTATAGGGTTGTCTCATTTTCAACAAATACAAAATGAGCAAAATAAGTTAACTTTATTGGTCGGTTTTCTTTGAATTTAATACAAATATTTTTTAAATCAGAATAATAAATATGTATGTTGTTTGGCATCTTCCAACCAATGTAACTATAGGTAATTTTGTTTCAAAATAACATGAATGGTAACCCTGCCTATAATCTATTTTCTCATGAACACAGCCGCATTATTATCGCATAATGGCTAGAGATACCATCAGTGTGGGATCACGCGAATATCTGACATTATGTCGAGAAGAACGCCCTAATCGTTTGAAGTTGGCGATTTTTGAACATTTCACTTTTGGCCATCTTATTGTTTGGAATTATATCCGCGAGATATGAATACTGGCGTCGCAACTTTGTAAAATCCGTGCCAATAGACAAAAGCAATTTTGTAACTAAGAAAATTGTAAAAAAATACTGAACTATCTCAGTGATCTCTGTTTTTTGCAATCAAAGATATATTTCTGAAATTACTAAGATAGGACCATAATAAGTTCTATGTCTATGATAGTCGAATTTAGGGTTTGCAAGATTGCCAAAATCTATAGGCGTAGACTTGTACCTGAGCTCAGTTTCAAAAGTCAAGTATCTAATAAGCATCTGAAGTTTATCACGTAACCGTTTTTAACACTATTACCTACCACAGCTATTACACTACACTATTATCTACCATTTACTTACCACATAACTTGTAGAGATTACATAGACCTGTGCTTATTTATAACTTCCTATGAGTATTACCTTTAATTGATCACGATCTTCGGTACAAGGAATTTCATACATACCTACAAATAGATACCTACATAATATTTATTTAAACAGCCGTTCTATTTATCTATTTGCATCATCAATTTGCAAGTCCGTGCTTGACACATTTGCATGCGTAATTCGAATTTTGATCGATGTATTGCAGACACAATAGTTTAATGGTCCAGTCCTATCACTCACATACAAATTGCTTATAATGAGCCTTATAATTCATTTGTTCGAGCACCACTACCACCAGGTTTGTAAGGCCAGTGTTGCTTGGTGTAGAGTCGCGATTGGAGTCAAATACTAGTGCCAGTGAAGTAGTGAGAAACGTGCTTGTGGGTGTTAATAAAGTGTTTAAAGCTATTACAGTCCATTAGAATATTTTTTACTTTCGTTGTAAGTTTTTTTAGTGTTGGAATTATAAAATTATTTTATGTAGAGTTCTCGGATTAAGGTAACACTGCCAAAGAATGTTGTTTGGAATGCCTATTTGATTAACATAGTTCATTAATCTAACTATATAGGTCTGTAAGAAAATATAAAGGAATGCCGAGGTATCTGGTTTCTCAAATACAACTTATTTATACAAAAACTACAAATCTACAAAAAATATTATGTCGTTATTTAATCGTATGTATGCCGAATGCACATATTTTTAGAGTTTGTGAATTATTTTTCAATTGACGCAGTTTAGTTGTTTACAAATCGCACAGTGGGTCTCGGTTGTTTTGTTTTCAAAATACGGGATAAAATGAAATGAGCGACGCATTAGGGTAAAGCTATTTGTACATGCACGTGCTGGGAAAAGCTGCCAAAAACTAATGCTTTTCGTACATTGATTTTCAATATTTATAGTATGAATAGAGAAATATTAATAGCATAATGTATTCAAGTACTTTTGGCCCAAGACAGGTAAAAACGTCATGCTTGTAATGACTAGTATTTCAATGAAATAGCCATATTTATTACTAGCTTTCCGCCCGCGGCTTCGCCCGCGTGGAATTTTGTCTGTCACAGAAAAACATTATCGCGCGCGTCCCTGTTTCAAAAACCGGGATAAAAACAATCCTATGTTCTTTCTCGGGACTCAAACTATCTCTATGCCAAATTTCATCAAAATCGGTTGCGAGGTTTAAGCGGGAAAGCGTAACAGACAGACAGACAGACAGACAGAGTTACTTTCGCATTTATAATATTAGTTGGGATCTTGAATTCTTTAGTATACTACTAATCAATCGCAACAGGTAAACAATTAACTTAAATACCTATAGTTTTCTTTTACAATATTATAACTTGTTATAAGTAATGGTATTTCTAATAAACATTACTAAGAAGGTATTATTTTTAAAGCCAGAGTTACATTTGTAGCGACATTTACTTACAAAAATGCTTTTGTAAATGCTTTTATGTGCAGCACTGTACTTCTATACATTGCCATGTGGCTGTTATTGAGTCTGTATGTTTATTTATTATATCCATTTAATTAAAAAGGTAACTATTTTGTATTTAATAGTGTGCAGTTTTAGGGTGATGGGTATCAAAACAATAGGTACTATACTCAGCCCAAAGACTCGTGGCAGGTGGTGTCATAATAAAACAGTGCTTATCACGTTTTCTCTCGCACTAACACTGGTTATGGGTGACGTCACACAGAGGCAGGCATAGCGTTGATTATAATACGTAATAATTAATGAAATATTGGCGTGGGTGCATCTCTGTTTCAAAAATTACTTATGGCCCCGCTTGGTACGAGTCTTTGCATCGAGTATAGCTCTTGAGTCTCATACTCTTCACTTTCTTAAAAATACTTTGAATTTTTTTTCTAATTTCTCCAGTGTTAATCTTGGACTCTGTTAATTGTGTTATGTACTTTCTCTATCACACAGAACTATAATATAGATTTAATTTTATGATGAATGGAGGAAAAGTACTACGAAGCTGCGCCAAAGGTCCCACCAAATCGACCATTGTTCTTTATTATCAGTGATAAAGCCTACTAATGGACCATTAACACGAGGTCAATCTTGAGACATCTCGCTCAGCCATTGCCATATCTACGAGTGCTGGGCATGTTCTGGAAACTCAAGGAAATTGTTTGATTCTACTTATATTGATGAGAAATAAAAACACGATATCAAATACCTACTTAGTACATTGGTTTCGTCATACTAGATGACTCACGAATGAAATGATGTACCAAATATTAAATTGTTTCAAGTATTGATTTCTTCTCGGTCCAAAACTGTCGATAGTACGTGACATTATGCACTTTATACGCTTGTACAAAGTAATACCTATATTAAACTTTGATCTAGTAGCTTTCTAAACAAATTACGTTGATTTAACATTGACTCCAAATTGTATTATTATCCTAAAATTGATTTCTTTTTTTTTAAGTTTGTAGCATATAGAATGTGATTCTTAAGATCACTAAAACGATGAGTCTTATTGTGTGTAATGTAAGTGTAAATAATCAATTAAAATCTGATCATTTACATACTATACTGAACCACAGGATGTCGCTATCTAAATTTTGGCGCCCAACTTGGTAGCGAAATGAAATTTCGATCTGTGTGAAGTCAGGTACATCGCCTTGTTAAAGTTTTATGTCCAAAACGATTATGATTTTGTCTTTGCCCGTCTACTAACACGATAGTTCACGCTAAAGCTTCTAAATTGCCCTGTATATGTATGTAGAGATGGTACTTGGATTCAAACGACCTTATAATTCGTCGCCAACGCCGCAAAGTGGCGAACATCATACAAACGGTCAAAAATTTTGTCAAGTGTACAGAAATTCTGCATTCTTCAGGCACTACCTATGTCGTTTTTCGCACTCTACTTTTAGAAAAAAAGGTTCGTTCCTTTGCGGCGTCAGGCGGCGTCATACAGAAAAAAAGCTGGAAACTTATAAGCGCTTACCAGCGCTTGTCAGCGCTTGTCCGTTCGTTCACAAAGAAAGCAAGTTGAATGGCATTTTATATGGCAGCGTCCAGCGCTGACCAGCGCGTGTTGAAACTTATCGGCGCCGTTCAGTGCTTATCGGCCTGCGTTCATATATTTTTCTGCGCAGGTCACCAACGCTGGTAAGCGCTTACAAGTTTCCAGCTTTCTTTCTGTATACGGCCTCAGTGACGAATTAATCCCAAAGTATCTGAGGCCTATTTCCAGGTGGACTAACATACCTTTTTGGTGCACCAGGTGTCGGGGGCGCAGCGCGGGCGCGAGCGGCATGCGGCCCTGGCAGCAGACACCCATGGAGGTCGGCTAGCGGCGCGCGCGCAGCCCCCGCGCCCGCTACCCCCGCCCCGCCCCGCCGACAACATGGAACTCGCCGACGTGCCTCGACACCGACCCCTGGCCTTCGATAAGGTTAGTTTTTAACCATAATGGGGAAGCTCTTGGTCTGATGAACCTGATGGAAGGTGATGATCAGGCCGAAGGTGCAAGTGCACTTCACCCACTTCCAATCTTCAGCCATACAGGATATTTTGATACAAAATATGAGAGAGAAATATGATTCCGTGCTTCGCAGAAGCTTTTGACCTGCATCTCACCTGATGGAAAGTGATGATCAGGCCGAGGACGGAAAATGAAAATGAAGAAATATGTATTTTATAAAGCAGAGATAGGACTGTCACAGTAAGATTACTGAGTGACTGATTATGGCGATCCATACTAGCGCTACTGAAAGCTGTCTATTTCAATTACTAGGGGCAAAACATTTTGTAAAAACTACATAGACAAAGGCTGGACGACTCTACTTTAAAGCTGAGTGAGTCAACCAATTAATGTGCTCGTTTATGAATTACACATTGAATACTTAGCCTAAACAGTAGTTCGTAAAATAGTTTCTACTAAGTACTATAGACGCGCCCTAATAGTTACCGATGAAGGGTTAAAATTACTGCGGTTTAACCCTCCGTGCCAACTACATCCATGGCACGGACGGTCCATTATCGCCTCTGACGAAATTGCATGCGAAACGCTGGTTTTTAACGCTGACGTCAGCTGTTGGCGCTGACAGGCCCAGTAATTATAAAATTTCACCGGCCACGCAAATTACATTCTTTGGGGAAATTTAGGGCTGGTACACACAATGAGTTTGCAAAAATACTGTTGTGTTCACTTATCTTAACTTTTTTGGGACAGGCATCTTTCTGAGATACGAAGTATGTAATTTATTCGTAATCTATCATTTTATCGTTATGATATACGATAGATATACAGAAGTTCAGTAGATATACAGAATCAGTTTAGATAATAGTAGGCAGTGTAGGCATTTAAATCAATTGTGTCCAACATAACGAATGATGAGAAAAAGAAATACATTATAAGTAGTACCTAACTGTATAGTATTTATTGTACCAATACTGACTGTTGCGTAGTTAAAGACAAAATGTGTCATATGTGTTATGAGATCTCTAATTAAATACAGCGATAATATTTAATAGACAAACTACCAAGGTACCTATTTACCTTTACGATAATGTTCAAACGACCGACCCGAGATGCGTCAACCGCAACTTGGCAACAATTTGAATCCATCACGACTCAGTTTAAAATTAAAAATTCATCGCGTTGCTGCCAAACCTTTTCCCATAGGGTTGGGAAGAGGTATCATTAATAAAATGGTGCTTTTCATAACGGCGGAGGCTCTACCATTTATTTTTAACGGCAGTACCTACCGACGCGAATCGATAGCGCTCCGGCGCCTTCCGCACGCCACACTCGCATTCACCACACTAAATTGGGATTTTCTCGTAAATTTTTAAGGCATCCGTACGCTGGAATATGTCGGACATTCGGTTGAAGGATTCCGTGTGAACGACTGTTTTGGATATGAATAGAAAGGGTAGTTATACAGCTCTATATCGGTTTAGTAAGCTATTTGTAATGCCGGAATTATTACCTTAGTTGACAAAATAATAGCCACTCATGGAGAACGTAGAAGTAGGTAGGTATATCATGATTATGATGTTACACACTTCTAATGGTAAACCTTAGCCTTACTTAATAAATACGTGTTTATCTACCTACGCAATTAACTGCACTGCACAACAGATTAGTTATTTTGTTATTGGCTGATTTCTCTTAAGTACATGCAAGAAAAATGCGTGAAATATCGTTTTTCGTCAAGCTATCATTTCGTGGACCGCATCGAGTTACATCTAAGGCAACCGCTCTGAAGTTACACAGACACCTACATTGAAGTTTCTTTAAATCAATCTTTGAGAGTGTCATAGATTGCTTTAGTGTGTCCCATGTAGTAAAACCTTCCATCGGTTTCGGCACTAAAGTGGGATTTTCCCGTAAATGTTTGAGGCGCACGGACTACGTGGCCGAAGGATACGGTCCCATGAGTCGGCAATCCGTAATAATTAACTACCGCTCCAAAATAGAAAGGTCCACGGTGGCCGAGTTTCTTTTAGGTGTAAACCTAATCTTGTATTTATAGACCGTCCTGGAATAAGTAATGTTACTTCGGATTTTGGGTTTGGTGTGCTAGTTGGAAATATCAATTGGAAAATTATAGTTCACGCTGAAATACTTACGCTATTTACCTATAAATAGAATATAGTAAATGGTAAACGGTTGGTAAAATCGATGACGTATTTTGTACGACTACCTACGAGTACCTACCTACTTATATGAATTTCGCTTGCACTCATGGATCAAAGTTAAAGTAGCGCAGCTGGAGCTTAAGGTACTTTCGTGCTTAGGATGAAAGCTTTACATTTTTATACTTTAAAAGCTTCGTAAGTTTTCGTCGTAAGACGAAGACTACAGTTTGTAAGCTAAAAATTAGTGTAATTTATAAGATAAATAGAAAATGCATAGATATAGAGTTGAATGAGAGAGTAGGTTCGCCGAATGGGTGCAGAGAAACTAAAGTTTAAGTTTATTGGACAGGGCTTTCGTATTCGGACTCGCATTGAAACTGTAGTTCAATTAGTTACGCTACGTGAGAGTTTCTTCAGCCGAAAAAACATCTAAACATGTCAATTCAAATCGAGGTCATCGTTATTTTTGATTGAATTAGCCGTTGATTCAATTCTTTAAATTGGTCTCGTTAGTTCGCCACGACTGCGAATGTGTCTGCCGCGGCCTTGAACGTTCGTGTCGAATGGTCACTCAGCGGAAACCGCGGGTTCAATAACCCCCATTAGTACAATTACATAAAGGAAGGAACGATCAATTGTCGCCGGGGAGAGAATACAGCGTTCTAATTACACGTCGTGTTGATGTCTTTGATTTACAACCCAACTACCCACATGCCGCTATTATGACCGGCGCGAGCGTTTCGCCCTTTGTTGCGAGCGGGACGCGCACAATAGATGGGGTTGAACAATAAATAGTATACATTTGATTCCGGGAACGCTCGGCATTCGTCGTCCAAATTAGTGCTACCCGCGGAATGAGCGCGAGGCTACGGTGGAAAGCGGAATGTTCGTTGTTGGGGCGTTTTTTTTGGGCATTCGGAAAAGTTTTGAAAAAAAATCCTCATAAAATCATGTTGTTAGAAGTTGAGGATCTACCTACTTATACGATAAAAGAAAGATGCACGCGTCTCTATTTTTTACATTGAACTTTGTAGCATTTTTAAAGGTAGGTATTTCTGATCGAATGATAAATATCAAAACATTTCCGTTTTAGTTTTTTACGGGCAATGTGCCCAAAAAGATCTTTAGACATGATTTTTCTATGCTTTTCTATGACTCAGCTCATTCTGTTAAAGCTTCTATCTGTTATGAGTTCTTGCTGAAACGTCTATTTCTTACTTTTCTTATTCAAATGAACTGGGCCTTTCTCGTTTTTTCTCCTAGGTACGTGGAATGACAAATTATAGCTACAAGCAGGCGTTGCTCTACATTTGGCTGGCTGCCAACATGAGGCGAGACAAAAAGTAGGATGTGCTGGTAGTCGGGGGTCTTTCTATTTTGTACAGGGTGTAAAAGAGAAGCATTTTGTAGTTTGGGCGCACGAGCTCTATTTTGTGAAAGAAAATTCGAATTTTGAATTTTCCGGAGCATGGCCGACTAGATTCTTATGACAGATGTCAAAGTGTTAATTTCTTTTTTTATGGCCACTAAATAGGTTGCATACATTTTTTGAACGAAAACCAAACAGTTTGTTATACTCTTTGTTGAAACCATTTTTAAAAAGTAACGTAAAATTCGCCGCATAGCTTTCACGTATTTATGAAGAGTTTTATTTTTATTGATGAAATAATTTGAATTTGAATTGTAGCTCTTCTGTCTAAGGTATACCGAAAGTTACACAATATTATATCTTCTTAAAGTCTATGTCGATGTTTTTTTCACAGACATTGTGCTAGCATTCAATCCAATCAGACAATCTCTGACCGCTTTTCTTGTAACGTCCTAAGTAGGGAATCGCGTGAAAAGCCGACGCTTGGTCGACCATCAATAACTCACCGAGACTGATAACTAAAAGACGGCGATAACGTTCTGTATCGAACACGACAAATTACAATCACTTTTCTATTCGACACATTTTCCATTCGAATTTTATATCGAATAAGTTATTTTACGCTTTCCAAAATGTCATTGTATCTGTGCAAATAATTTCTAAAGAAAAATAATACGATGATGCCTGGAAATTGGTTAAAGGTGTTGGTTAAGTTGTCTATTATAACTTCTGTCTCAATGCTACTCCTCGCGCTCGATCACAATGGAATTAATAATGAAATAGTGTAGGTGAGGAATATTTTTGATTAGGACAGCCTGTACAATGATTAATGATACGAGGAAATCTGTCTAAAATCCTTGTGTTTATAGGCTGACTAGTGTTAGGTGCTAAGATGTAGTCTAAGGCTTTTGCTACTCACACTCTTGAAATTAAAAGTCGCTCTCTAATCTCACTTCGCTCGCCCTTATTCGCTCGCTCTGAATCGCAATGAAAATCTTTTAATTGCCGGATTCAGCAAGCAAAGGGTTGATTACAGCGAGCGGGGCGCTCCCACGCTCACCTATATCTGCAACTGCCTTTTAGGCCTCAGCCTCGAACTTAGCGGGCAGCGGGGCGGCGGCGGCGGCGGCGCGGGAGCGGCAAGATCTTATGCGTAAAATCAAATAGACCGGTTGTGCTTACCATGAGTTTACGATAGGTTTACTCGCTAGCGACTGCGTTAAAAAATGACATTTAAATGTATGACATATTGTGCAGCGCCCCTAGCGGCTACTTTCAGGAGAAAAAATCTTCATACAATTTTCTGACGTACTCGCTAGCGAGCACACCTAACGTAAACTCACGGTTCTCGAAAACAGCGGCGCGGCGCAGCGGCGCCGGAGCGGGCAACGAGCGGGCAGCGGCGAGAGAGCGGGCAACGAGCGGGCAGCGCACTCCTT